CTTCTCTATGGTACCTCGACTGTATGAATTTAAGGGCAATACTAAACTGGTGGCGTGATCTCATCAATGTAGCTGTAACTGATATGCTAATAGTTTCTTTTAGTTTTTTTTTTTTTATCCCTTCACTTCTCGCTGGTGGAACTCCCACCCGGTCACATACTTTCCAACCAACTTTAATCTGCAAAAATTTAAAGGCAATATCAATCTACTGCCCTCCTAACTGTTCTTTTCTTTTTTCTCATTACTAACGTTTCTGTTCCTAATTCATCCACACCTTGTAACTCCTTGCGTGTTAGTGGTTGTACTGCCTTGTTTGGGGTGTTACCGATTAAAAAAAAAGAAAAAAAAGGTGGGAGATTGTTGTGGATTCCGGGATGAAATCCGGTCTCAAATGAATGACAAACGCGGGAATGAAATATAGCAAATAAATGTATTGACGTAATAATACAATTGGTAATACGGTTAGTAGATCCAGAAATGCGGTTAGTAGCAATAATAATATATATACAGTCTGGGAAATTCAGTATCGAAGTAGGACTTCCTTCTGAGCCTACGTGCTCGCAACTGTGACTCCTACAAAGCGGTTACCTCACACTCTTACTCTCTCACTTCCGGGTATTCACCGACAGCAGTACAAGTACACACTGGGCGAGTCCACTTGTATAAAAAGGGGTGGACCCCTTAACAGAGATATTTCTGACGCACCCTGTATTATCGAAATTATTGTTTCTCAGAATTTTACTTATTCTTTTCGTAAAATATTTTTATAATTCTTTGCTGAGTATTTTTCGCAAATGTTGAAGTCACTTTCTGATCGACATGCGGTATAATGGGATTGCCAATTGCTGAAGGGATATATTTAGTGAGAGATGTTAGTGGACACACGTGCGTGTTTCCTCAAACAAGAGATTAAGAAGGAATATACAAACAACAACGATAACATGTTATTGCCTGAGCAAACACGATATCATCATCATTATCATTTCCATGACCAAATCTGCTCGTAGAGTCTCTGCTCAGCTGAGCACCTGGTCAGTTTCCCCATGGGTTGGAAGCCAGAGAGTTATTCATTCATGCGCAGCATGTCTTGGGCAAAAGTAGATCCGGAGGAGCACATCGCTTTCCGAGCCAAACCACTGCCGTTGTCCAACAAGTTGAAGGCTCGTCTTGGTTTCAAACTCGTGGATGTTGACTTCAGTCTAGAAAGCCCTCTGTCCAGCAATGCTCTGTCAATACTGATATGCCTAAATGTAAAATTACGTAGTCCAGTTCTGTTATACCAGAACATTACCTATTCTATTGTAATAGACTCTCCCATTGATAATAAGTAGTAGTAGCAGTGGCCAGTTGGGCTTAGTGGAGTTGAGTGAGTCAGTCGATGTCGGACATTGAAGTATCAACCACCACAACTAGATTGCTGCCTCATTAGTTATTATTGCAACGTTTTGTACGTCGGACCCTTTTAGGACCGACTTAGCGAAATACAAGCGTCCACTGTGAAAACTACTCTACAACAAGTTCCTTACCATTTTCCTAGATTGACGTTGATCTTACATCCGCCCTTTGTCAGATCTTGTTTTGAATCCTGCTAGGTGTATAGCTACCCTCTTCACCAGAAAAGCCTGATCGAGGAACCGATTTAGTCGTCGATGACCAGACAGTGAGGCAGATAGTAGACGATGCCAGTAGACCTTGTATAGTAACTTGACATAAACAAAACTAAATAAAAAGAATATTAAACGGTGGATGAAGGTGATTATATAGATATTCTCTTATTCGTACATACGTATATGCAAAGTTCCCTTGAAATTGTGTAAGATATTTTGAGAACAGTTCTTTGTTGATTTGGTAGAATTATTAATTATATATGTCTTATGCAGGTAAGCATAGGTCATTTCTATGCTGGATAGTATGCTGTTTTCATTTCAATGCGAGCTGAGCTTTCGTTAACACTCAAAAGGTCCTCTAGGAAGAGAAACGAGGCACTACGGGCTCGGACCACCCAACGTTAAAAAAACGGCCTTTTGCCACATCCCACCTTGTTGAGAGGTCCCGGATAAATACCAAGTTAACCGCTCGCGTACCTCTTAGATGTTGTCAAACTCTCTGCTTTCGGCCAGAGAGGAACCCAGACGAAGCTATGCCAAAGGGCAGAGTCTTGTCTGAGGAGGTTGACAAATCCGACCCCCGTGTATATCAGGTCTTTAGGTTCTACAGGGTCTACGGGGAATTTTTGCTCGCGCCTACGAACTCAGAACCGCCCCACAGAAAAATTGGCCTTGTGCCGCATCCTACCTCATGGGGAGGTTTGGTAAATACCGAGCTATCCGAAAGGGAGCCTTATAGCCTTACTACAGAATTCAGTAAGTCTACGTCGATTCCAAGCGAGATTATATTTCTTGATTGTGTTATCTTCATTCAATTGAATGAAGACATTTTTACATACTGCTTTTGCCAACGCCGTCTAGCAGACGCTAGCAAAGGTTCTTCGGCATTCAAGTAGTAGACATCTTTTTTTGTCTTCTGATCAATAAGAAATAATAATTGATTTATAGTATTAGGTTGTTATTTAACTCATTACTAGATATTGGTAACATGTACAGTGATAAAAAAATACTTACAAGTAATTATAGGTTAGTAGTAATTTAGGTCGAACACAATCGCCTCTATTCAGTTTGCTAATCGTTGGTAGCCTTGCTAATGACTCCTTTTAAAATGTCCCTCAAAAAAGTGGCTATTAATTTTAATCGAAATCCAGGACGTTTGTTTACATCTGCGCAGAAGGAATTGACTTTCATCATAACTGCGCAGACTGATGTTGCAATCAACTGGAGATTTAAGCTTTAAATTCTATAAGTATTTATTACATATAATTGATGAAATGGCTTATTTTTTAAAAAATAAGTTTTCATCGCGACACAGAATTTTCTATGTTTCAAAACTGAAACTTCATTCCCAAATTTAATTATGAAAATTAAACTTAAAATCTAGAGCTTCGTTCTAGTGTCAAGCGATGCTAAGAATAACTTTCTAAGAAATTGATTCTTCTTAGCATCTCTTGACACTGGAACGAAATTCTGGATTTTAAGTTTAATTTTTATAATTAAATTTGGGATTGAATTTTCAGTTTTGAAACATAGAAAATTCTGTGTTGCGATAGAAACATATTTTTAAAAAATAATCATAATATTATGCTCTACTGTTGTATCGAGCAATGTTTTTCTAAAATAAAAATAATTGATAAGAACTCTGGATTATAAATCTCACAGTTCTTTCCTATTATTTTAATATATAAATATATAATGAGTATGTGTGTGTATGCGTGCGCGCGTTTCATACGAGTAGATAGGTTTGCCTATGGACCGATTCACACCCCTCCCCAGTCTTTTGAATAGTGGTCTCCTGTTTAGGACTGGGTTTCCGGTTCTGTCTTAATTCTTTTCCTTCTCTTTCACTCTCAGTAACCCCATGCGTCTTAGTGACATTATCACTTTGCTTTGAGGTGAAATGATTTAAAAGAAATATTCTTAAATTTCCCACGCACTTTTTTTGCCTTTGTTTCATGAAATAGGAAGAAAATACTTATATTACAATGCCAGGATTTTAAGACAACTTGGAAACTTTCAGTGCTGCCTCTTTGTTTGACGTAAGATTCTCAAACAAACAATAAAAGGTTTCTATTAAAACGAACATTTTAAAACAAGAAAGAATAACAAAACAAAGCAGTAACAAAAATGGTTTGCATTACTGGAATGTCGAAATTCAGAAAAAACTGCATTTCACTATTACAACATTACGGTAATGTAAACCTTTTTTTTTTATTCTTTCTTTTGTTGTTTAAATATGTCTGTTTTAATCGATATTAAATGTTGCACTCCTTTTAAAATACACTTGACGAAATCTTTCCATGCTTCCTATTCGAAAACTAACATAAAGATATTGGCTAAAGAATTTCTGCCAGCTTTTAATTTTAATAACATTAAACCTCATAAAACAGAGTAAAGTCCACTGAACATTAGAAATGTTAAATTATTATATTTATATTCTTTCAGAATATCTACATATGCTGGACAATAAAAATCTGTATCATTCTATATTTACTGTTCTCTCGGACAATCTTTTCGTGTAAAGTAGTCCATTAAATAAAAAGTGATATTTGGGGATACTGTATTCTATGAGTCCAAAAATGCAAATTGCAAATCAAGGATACTAAAATCAAATACAGAAATTTAAATATCTTGGAAGAGGACAGAAAAGTGTGACACTGAAATCCAAAGATGTATTGGGATGACCAAAATGCACTCCAAAAGCTAAGCAGAGTAATAAGACAAAAATTCGTTAGAAACAAAGAAAAGAGTATTGAACTTTTACGTGATATCTGTCCTCCTATGTGGCAGCGAATGCTTTACAATCTCCTCAAAATGTGGAATTAACTTGAAGCAACAGAAAAAGAAAGAAAGATACATAAGATTCCATGGACCAAACATGTGAGCAACAACGAGGTTTTGGAGAAAATAGAAACAAAAAGCAAACTTATAGTTAACATCAGGAAGAAGCAGATGAAATTTCTGGGGCACGTGGGGCACGTAATGAGGAAAGAGGGCTAGGAAAACCTGATACTCAGAGGACAGATTGGGGGAAGGGACAAAGGAAAACAGCGCGTAACATACTTGATGGACTTGAGTAAATCGATGGTAGAACAGCGCTTGGGGGGGCAATAACAAAAAGGCAAAACTTATTAAGAGCTACAAGAGACAGGAAGATGTGGAGGGCCATGATCCCCTACGTCCTGAAGGGACACGGAGGATAAAAGAAAGACGTATTCTCTATCTGTGATCTAATGTTTGACACGCCAATTCATGTAATAAATTTGGAACAATTATGTCCTGGGCCAAACTTATATTCTTTAATATTGAAGAAATAATTTTGATTTTTGTTCACCATGAAATTCCTCTATAATATTTTAACCTATTATACTCATCGTCCCAACGACATATCACATTGAAACATTTGTTCTCGTACGATTACCGAAGTTAAGCAACTTCGAGCCTTGTCAGTACCTAGATGGGTAACCACTTGGGGATATCAGGTGCTGTAAACTTGGATCTGCGGTAGGTGTAATAGATAACGGCTCGGAATTAAAAAATCGGACATCTGAATCCCAATTCCACTCGGGTTCGTTATATTCATTCACGCGAAAAAAAACCTTTGGGAAAGGTATAAATACACCTCTTCTCCCCCAACTATGGGTTAATTAGTGAGACATGTATCAGTAAATCAGTTTCTTTGTTTCTAGGGTCCTTCAGTTAGTCCTATGTATATTTTTGTCTTCGTTATTTGCACGAAAAATAAGAGAATGGAAGCAATATGGAAGCAAAAACAATCACCCAGACATTACCACCGAATAAATTACATCACTAAATCACAAGCATTTATCACACTAAAAGACCGAAAAGAAAATTTCAGTACAAACCCAATATGCAGGCTCATAAACCCAATCAAAATTGAACTAGGTAACATAAGTAAAATAATCGTAGAAAGAATTAATTCACAGATAAGGAAGACGTTAGGAGTAAATCAGGGGAAAAACAAAAACAGCTATAGACTGGTTCCGCAAGATAAAAAACAAACATAATTTCGAATTTATGGAACTAGATATAAAAGATTCCTATACTTCTATAGAACTCATGTTGGATATTGATTTTCTAATCGAAGCTTAGATGTGGCACATGGCCGAAAGTATGGGGCACCCAGTGAGGATCGAACTCACTATTTAGTTGCAACAGTTTTAGCACGACCAGCTTGCTAACCACTACACCACCCCGAGGTGCCCAAACCCATGCTGGATATACCCATCTCCTTAGCTCAAGAACAAATAAAAATAAACACAAACGAAATAAAAATTCACTAAACACACTGCGAAATCATTATTATTCGATAATGAAGGAAAGTGATATAAGGAAAGCAAAACATTAAGAATCTTTGACGTTACAATGGGAAATTTTTATGGTGCATAAACCTGTGAGCTTATAGGTATACATTTACTACATGAACTAAGTTAAATAATCAATAAAAAAAATGATATAGGCCTCTATAGGGACGACGCTTTCATAATCTTAAGAAACCGTAAAAAATAAAACAGACAAAATCAGAAAAACAAGCATAAAGATTTTAAAAAATATGAGATTCGACATAGAAATAAAAACTAACATGAAAGTAGATTTCCTAGATGTCACATTTAACATTTAAGAAATGGTACATATCAACCATATAGAAATCTTAACGACAAACGCCTCTATATACATCTTCCAACCACACGCTATCAATAATCAAGCAAATCCCTAAATCAATTAAAAGCAAATTATCTGTCAATTTTCCAGTAAAACCATCTCCAACGAAGTCAAGAAAGATTATGAAACAGCCCTAAAAGATAGTTGCACTTCGTCAGCACTCACATACACACCTCACAGCATAAAAAAAAACAACTAAAGAAAGATAATATGGTTCAATCCACCGTACAACAAAAATGTAAAAACAAACGTAGGAAAAATATTCATTAAAATCATACACAAACAATTCCCCCATGAAGTGCTCTCCACAAGATATTCAACACAAATACAGTAAAAATCAGCTACAGTTACACCGAAAACATGACCCAACTTATGAAAAAACACAAGAAAATAACCACAAGTCACCCATACAAATCAAACACACGTGTAACTACAAAGCAAAAAACAAATGTCCTTTAAACGGCAATTGCTGGCAAAATAATGCTATAAAATCAACTGATCATGAAGAAAAATATACATCGAAGTAACTGAAGGATCCTGAAAACAAAGAGAATACGCACACAAAACATTCTTTAAAAATAGTAAATACACAAACAGCACACTGCATTCTAAATATATATGGGAAAAGCAAACCACACAAAAATATCATGGAAAATAAGGAAAAAACAACATCAACCTACAACAATAAACCAAAAAATTGTAAACAGTCTGAAGGAGAATATAGCTATAATTAGCTCCTCAGACCAAAACAAATTACTAAATAACCATCAGAACTCATCTTAAAATGCAGATAGAAAAACAAATGTTTACTATGTTACTTAAAAAGCGAAAACTAAAAACGAACAAACAAGTTAAAACAAATAAATAAGAAATAAAATAATAAAAAATAAGTAAAAATAAATAGCTAAAATAAATTAATACAAGTCAATAAATAACGTAAATAAATAACGTAAATAAGAAACAAATTAATAAAATACGAATGCATACGTAAACACTAGTAAACCTAATAACAACAATTAAAAACAAATAACAAAGTAATCAATAATAAAGCTGACCAACACCACTAAAAATAGCCATAAAACTGTATTCAGATCCACAATTATTTCCACTCAGTAACCTCTAGAATAAATTGAAACATAACCGATAACGCCCAACGAATAACCTTTAGAATAATATAATAGAGCTACCATAATTAATAGCCAAGCCAAAAAAGAAACACATATGACCTGATGAATATATATATATATATATATATATATATATATATAAATATAAATAAAGAAAAAAGACGATATGAGAAAAATTTTGTTTGTGTGTTGGCAATTTAGAAAGAAAATTGATTGCCAACACAAAACAGAATGTCTCATATCGAGAATATTCCATATTGAACATGAAGAAAAAATTAATTATTTTAATAATATGTAAAAAATCTCCACTTTCACCTGAAGACGGTTGCGAGACCAGACCAGAAACACGTGTCGTGAAATTATGTAAAACAAAGTATAATATTTTTTCTCAATAAATCCACATTACAACCAAAAAACGTTTGCGGCAAAAACATCTTCTTTTTTAATATACATACTTTTCTCTCGTTGGAACCACTATAACATATTTCTTTTATATATATATATATATATATATATTGGAATAATGTTTTGATACCACAAAACAAATATAATGATTTAAAGAAAATGAATTTCTTTTGTATGACCATTTTTTTTTTTTTTTTTTTTGCAGGACCTAGGTCAAATGATAGGGCAAACGATCCTTGGAAAAAGACGGAAAAACAGTACGAGTACCAAAGACCACACGTACCTTGGCTGAAAAGAAGGTAGCAGAAACAACATCCGAAACTTTATCAGTCAAAAGTTTACATTTTCTGCCCAGCCAAGGTAATTTCAGATAAATAGGGCAAAGACCTGGGCCAAATTTTGGGGGCATATTGAAATTCTCTATTTTCCGCTTTATTGTGCGGTCAACAATGTTGGCTGGAAAACCATTGTTGATGAGAATGTCTCGAATTTTGTTCAACTCTTGTTTGTCCTATCATAATAAAAGTTCGATTATATATAAATTTAAATGTCAGTGCGAAGCTGAATATATAGGGCGAACATGTCTTCATTTGGAAACAAGAATCGGACAACATGTACCCAGACACATTAGATTAAATTTAGATAGTCGCGTTCGTGTTTCGCAATCAGCTCACGATTCGGCGATCGGACAACACCTATTAGAAAATGAGTCATGCTCAAAACATTTCACAATAGACTCGTTTTCAATTATATGCGTAGGCAGGTCCAAATATCATCTGTCTATTTTGGAAGCCATCTGCCTCAAATTATTTAAACCATCGCTTTCTAAACAAAAGGAGAATTTTTCACGATCGCTAAATTTATTTTTGGATATATGAGCAACTTATTTTTCTATTTTACTGCTCAGGTTGGTTCATTTAATTCATTATTTACGCATTTATTTTAATCGTAAATTTATTTTAATTTTACGTATATATATCTTCGTAAAATTTTAGACGTGTTCCAACCATATCATTTTGGTGTTCTTTTCATTTCTATTGCTTGTTTAAAATCATTTGCCAACGAAAGACCCTGATGAAGCGTTAATGAAAGGTACCTAGGTCCTGCAAAAAAAAAAAAAAAAAAAAATGGTCATACAAAAGAAATTCATTTTCTTTTAAATCAATATATATATATATATATATATATATATATATATATATATATATATATATATATGTATATGAATATATGTGTGGGGGGTTGTTTGGTTGGTTGGTTGGTTGGTTGTGTGCCATAAAAATTTTTAACTCGATCTTAGCTCGGTCCCTTTTAAAAAACATTGGAAGCTTATTTCGTACATTTTTTACAAGACGTGTGTAATATATAAATATATAAGGCATTTTTGTGTTGGTATATATATATATATATATGTATATCTTAATTCAAAACTTATTTTAGTGGACACTTCGAATTTGAAATAAACTCCTCATATTTATTCATATATCGTGTGTATTACGTCTATCAGCCAATCATAATACAAACTGTTTAATAAATGCAAAAATAGCGTTTGAAGTCATAAAATATCGGTTTAAAAATGAATCTATTAATTATACAGAAGGTCCTCGTGTTACATCGGACCCAACGTACAGCGTTCCGTGATTACGACACCATCTCCAATAATATAATACATCGTCACACGGCACTATATGAAGACGATGTTGTTTCTTAACCGGCTGTACGCCATATTAGATAGTGCTACATTCACTATCTCTCGTTTGTATCGTGTTTCTTTGAGGAAGTTTTTCGCTTCGTTATGGTTCTCAAGCGTAAGGCAGACTTGTGTGTACTTATGTAGGTGAGGTCTAACCTACGTTGAAAATCAGTTTACGTCGCGCCGTAGGAAAGGATCGCCAATGTAAGTCGATATCCCTCTCTCTCTCTCTCTCTCTCTATATATATATATATATATATATATATATATATATATATATGGAAAAGGTTGTAGTTGTTACGAGAGAAAAAAGCATATTTTAAAAAAAAAGAGAGAAGACGCAAACGTTTTTAACTATAATGTGGATTTGTTTTAGTATATATATTTATATTTTATTCTTCATATTTCTGCTACACGTGTTTCCAGTCTCGTGACTTTCTTCAGGCAAGTAAAAGGAATAAATATTTAAAACGAATAAATGTTCCTTATGTTCTTTTAATGTCTCATTGTTCGTTTTCTGTATTTGTTAGTTACCTTGAACTCCTTTCTGGACTCTTAGCAAAACTGCATTTATATATATATA